AGCTGCAGCGACAACATGTTTAGTGGAGTGTGACCGCCTCCTTTCATGTGGTCTCCCTTGAATTACTCTTCATCGTTCATCTGTTTCCCCTTTTTCCTCACTTTTCCCTCTCCGCTAGATTAGTTCAGTTTGATTCAAAGAGGCTTGTTGGCTCGGGTTAGAAGCCCCGAGTTCTGGTTATAAAACCAGCAAGTAAACTTCCAAAACTGAAAACTAGAAAAGTGCACTCAGCAGAGAGCAGATCTGCAAACACCACTTCTGTTATGTTTGAATGAATGAATACAAACCAAAATGGCCCCCGTCTAGACCTCAACCGTACAAGACGTGTTGTTCCCTCAGACAATGCTCCATGTTGACTGTTTCCTGTTTCCTGTGTGTTAAGTTCTGTTAGCCGTTATCTCTGTTAGCCAAACACACCGTAGGACAGACACAGAGAAGCACACACAAGCAGTGCACACACATCTCCTGGCGGCGACAAATACATATAAATACAAAATGATAAACAGCTGACAGCTTTAACAGAGAGTTGAGATTGAATTTAATGCCTGAGTCTTACAGATTTCTCTATTGTTCAGCCATTTTCTCTCACGTTTAACTTTTATACCTCTCAGTTTGCTGCAGAGAAGTAAACTGATAACCACGAATGACCCCTTCCTCTTTGGACATTTGAAGTAATTAAGTGGCTTGTGTTTCCCGTGGACCTCCAGGAGCTTTGTGACATATAGATTACTTCACAGAAAAGAGAGGTTGTACCTTTCTCCAGCCCTCCTGAGCAAGAACGAGCCTTTTTCTCATGAAGGCCAGATTGTGCCACTGAAGACTCAGGAGCCCCTTTCTGATCAGTTTCTTTACTCGATTGAATTAAGACGACCTCGTATAGAAAATCAGATAACAGACTCCCGGTAGAATCTGTGTCCTTTATGGCCGATAGTAGACGCGAGCCTTGTGTGTTTCTCAGCACAAAGAGCAATAGTCTAATTTGTCTGTTTTTTTAAATCTTTCTGAGAAGAAATCAAAGGCTTCGACTTTATCTCGTTTCTATTTCAGGCTCAATTACCTCTCTGTGCTGATTTCCTCCTCCTTTCAACCAGAATGTCACAGGCACTCTTGTCGTTCTCTTGCTCTTCAGTCACGTCTACCTTTTAACTGCTTCTTTGCAAATGGTGCCATATCATGCCCCAAAAGCGACACACACTAAAGAAAGACGTTTCGCAAAGAAAAGGTACCGGTCAGTGGAGTCGTTCAGTTTTATTGCACAAAAAAACCAAGTGCCTGTCCATGTCATTAAATTAAAATCAATCAAAAAGAACGACTTTCCCTGATGTAAATGATTTTTTTTAGATCAGTTCTATTTAAAGTCTTTCCAGTGAATACTTTTGACTTTGATGAAAAGGCATCTGATGTACATTTTATAGTTCCTGACCTTTCAAAAGTTTGCATGAAATTCTCTTGACGGCAGAATGAGAAGAGAGCTAATGTCTCTCTCTCTCTCTCTCTCTCTCTCAACCCACCCGCGCCATACTCCAGAGATTGACATTATCTGTAGATAGAAGCTGTTGATGTACTGAAACTTGTGGCTGTGTTACAGTGCAGCCTGTAATGTGGAGGACATAGATGAGAAAAAGGGAGGAATACAGGGAGGATGGCCGCAACAGTGAAACTAAATCTTCACCACAAAATAAAAGTGAGACAAAGACGGAGTAAGAACACGTTAAGGGACCAATATTTTACATTTGTTCCAGAAATAATTGAAAAGTTGGAGCATAACGGCTCACTAAAACAGCAGTCCTCCGACAGACAAATAAAAAAACGTATGGATTTATATGAAAAAGATAGAGGCGTGTGTGTCAGAGAGAAATATAGTGCGAGGTAATTAGGTTGGATTCCTGGACGGAAGAATGCATCACACTGCCAGTGTTTTCCCTTCTGAAACTAATCAGACAGATTTATACACGCGCTCCGCCTGGTGTCAGCCCGCCGACAATAAAACATCCAGCGAGGAACGTCTCATCCACCTCACCGCGGCAACACAGCAGCAATAACGGGGCTGTCATCATGCAAAGAGATACACGAGTCAGTGTGTGAAGTATGTTGTTTTACCGTTTAGTTATACTACTATTAAAGTCTCATTCACAGTAAACTGGTATCAGTGCAGCATATTCGTCACTATTATTTAGCCTTTATTTAGATCATCACTAGCTTCCACTAATAAGTTGTTGCTTGTTTTTCAGGTTTAAACAAAAAAAAGGAAAATTAGGATTAAAAATCTACAGAAATTTTAAATGTACACATTATAAATCATACAAGCAAAGGGCAGTACATTAATGTTCATTATTATTAACTGATACTGCAAATGAAAAAAAAAAAAAGAAAAACCAACTGTTGAAAAAGCAAAACATTAAAATGAAAAGAAAGTATCAGACAACAACCAAAGTCATTCATCTCTGTTTCAGTAACCTTTTGAAAGAAGGTTCTACTAATTAACTGTGTTTATGTTAAGCTGGCATGAAGAAGGTCTACAGAGAACACATTTTATCACATAACTTGTATGTGTACACAACCAGGGGACATGTCTTATGCTCCGTATTTAGATATGTACACAGTACTGGGTCTAAGAGGCGTGTCCCGTGCTGGAGAGGCCTTTAAACACTCTTTTTCTAGAGACAGGCGACTACTGGAGACGGGACAGTTTGTGCAGCCACGGCTCATTTCCTCCTAACAAGAACTGGTATATGAAAGTGCTTTTACCCACTTTACAAGAAAAAATGTGCTTGATTTTGGTAAGTTTCTGCTAAAGCTATCCGAACACACTGCACCTCAGTGATTTGAATACAACCAAAGTCAAAAAGGTAAACCCGTAGAATGCAGTGTTTTACTGAAGAACAAGTATGAGCGATACTGTTGAGTTGTTGAAGCTGTGCAGCAGTTTGGTAATGAGCTGAAAGCCTCGTGCTGTACTCTACCTCTGTCCTTGGCAACCGGTAAAGCCCTCCTACAAAAACGCTGCTAGATAAGAACATGATTTTGAGTGAGTGCTGCTTTTCTTCTTTTTTCGAAAATTGTGGTGAAACAAAAATAAGATGCGCCAAAGACTGCAGACAGGAAGATGTGTTCGGCAAATTCCGATAAAGCTGATTTCTCCTTCTGTGATGCCGACATGTACCAGGATGCATTGAGCGAGCGTGAGCGGCAACTTCGCCATGTTACACAAGATCTGTTTCAAATAAACAAAAAAAAGGAAAATATATAGGAAATAGGGTATAACAGCCTTTGTAACTCTTCGGAAAACACGCATCAAAAACCAATACATTATTTGTTTGTCTTTCCACTTTTCCAACAAGCAGCAACTCTGGTTTGGTCTTAATAAATCCTTAATTCACTGAGTTAGATGTGAAAATATGCCAACTCCACACGCTTTTCATGTCTCTGCTGTGCCAGCTGCCCGCTGAGCAGCTGCCCAGCTGTAGCAGCTCGTTGGCGTCTCTCGCTCCTTCTTCGGAGGCAGACCATTAAATTAAGAAAAATACAAGGACAAAAACAATTCCCCCAAAAATCACCCTGCTGGTCTTGTGTTTTCCTTCTTTATCTTCGGGCTCCTGATATCCTGAAGAAGGTCTCCAGCACACCTCTGTCCCAGACACAGAGCATAGGTGTGTTCTTCACAGTATATCTTGAACTCAGAAAGATGGAAATAAGGTTGAAAATCAGTGAATTTTCTCTTTTTTATTTTAGTGTAGCGGGTTAGTAAATCTATTTAAATGTAAAATTAGTTGGATATCACCTTGAGCTGTGCAAATAGATCAATGTTTGCATGAGAAGCTGGTCTAAGATTAACAGAGCGTCCTACACTGAAAGCTGAGCTGTGTTTCCGTGGTTCTTTATGAAAGAGCATGATTCATTAAAGCACTGCAGTCTGGGTGTCCTTGTGAACATCACTTATTTATCACGTTATTGATCCCTGAATAGTGTTTCGTAGAGCGACCCATTCATCTTCAGTCTGTTTTATCACAGATGACGTAGGTCTGTAGCCCTCTAATTCCCCACATCTTCTGTTTCTCTCTCTTAACAGGCATAACGCATTCAAATGATTCCACTTCAGATCATAAAAAAACAGAATGCAGATTTCATCCAACACAGATATTTAGAAAGACAAATCCTTTTTAAAGCGTCAAAATAATTCCGTGACCTTGTGACAGTATTATCTCGTTTACATTGGGATGAAGGACTGCTGCTCATTTATCTTCCTGAAGTACACAGTTACATCATGCCGTCTGCTGCTGTCTGCACTTTTACTTTTCTGCTGGGGATCTGGTTTGTTAGTCTATTTGTCAGCTTCCTGTCGTGAAACGGTCATGTAAGGTAAACCTGAGGGTACGAAAGGAAAATAGATTTGTACACGCACACAAATACACACACACACACACACACACACACACACACACTGGATCTGTCCATAGCCTCGAGTATCTCCAGAAACATTTTATATCCAGATTGTCTTTACCTCAACCAACCTTCCCTCCTTCATGTCTTATTAATTTGTCTTGTTATTAGTTATTTTACTCGGGTCAATTACGAAGTACGTGATGATGTTAATAAGCTGTAATTCACACATTGTAATAACCAAAATTACAAGAAATCATTAGTATGGAGTCAAAAGGATAAAATGTTTAATGACCACAAGGGATCTCTCTCTCTCTCTCTCTCTCTCTCTCTCTCTCTCTCTCTCTCTCTCTCTTTCTCTCCCCTTCTCTCTCTAATTTTTTTGAAATAATATACTGTCCAATAAAGTGGAATAATAGCAGACATCAGTCACCACACCCTGCTTTAGTACTGCACAATTTTATATCAACCCAGCTCTTACAGAAATAAAAAATAACATACTGTAACTAACAGTCAAAACTCTTCAAAAAATAGCCCAGATGATGTGTGTCAGATCTGAAAAGGTGTGTTTACCCTTTCTCTCTTTCTCTCTGTGTGTGTGTTTGTGTGTTCTTCTCCAGGCCGCAGGGTGCTTCCATGATGTCCAAACCCGCGGGTGAGCAGCTCTCTAGCACCACCATCAGTGAGGCCTCCACTGCCGTCACCTCCTCCACTGTGGACACCACCTCCAAGGTTGGTGTGTGTGTTTGTGTGTGTTGTTCTGCGGTGGTTATATTTACATCTTGTCATAGCATGTTGAGGACAACCATGCTAATTATGGACGACACTTTCCTTGTGAGAAAAAGATACATGGCTGTCTGTATCATAGAGTGTGTATAAAGATGGACGCCACGTCTCCACTTCCTTCCGCTGTACTGTACAAAAATGAAGCCAAAGTAAGTTTTTCCTTGTTTTGTTGACACATGAGCCTGCCCCCACTGGTTGGTTCACGGCCGCCGCTCTACTCCAACCCTCAGGTAAACATTGTTACCTCTGTCAGCACGTCAGTAGTTTATACTGTTAGCGTCGCCATGTTGAGAGCCATGTGGAGGCAATCCCTCCATCATAGATATGCTCTGAATTTGGAATTTAGCAAATCAGTTGTCAAAAGTGACATAAATCCTGTGTTTTTTGAATTTTTTTAGAGGTCTATTTTTTTACTTCTTGCCTTTTAAAATGTGTCCGCCCTTCGCCGTTATGAGAACTTCTGAACCCAGTAGCTCTGTCTGTGGTGGATCAGCTTCCTCCTCCTTTTCGTCCTCCACGGATACACAAAGCGTAGACGCCTGCGCGGCAGACAATCTGCTCAGCACTGGTCTTGTTTGCTAACATTCATTATTTTGATGGGTGAAGTCAAATGTACTGATGTAACTGTTGTCAGAAATGTTGAACACTGCGTCCTTTCTCCGGAGCTCTTCAGACTCCTCCGACAGTCTCTCTGTCCTAAAGCCGACAGGTGCACTTTGGCCATCAGGCTCCCTGGACTGTGGAAAGTCATGCCTGAGGCATTTAGGCTGGCAAACTCCATCACATCATCACTATAATAAAACAAACATGACTTGCACTCTGAAAGGACTGCATTCATTTGAACACTTATTTCTATATTTTGCTCTTATTTAATCACAAATGATTATGTCCAACCCCCTTTTCCTACTATTCCTCGTGGTGTCCTGTGTTCAGATGAGATGTATGAATAAAGCAGTAGTAGCAGTAGTAGTAGGATTAGTTATAGAACAAGAGCCATTGCTGTTATTTATGGCCACTCGCTGATCTGGCTAGCAGCAGTTTTTAGCTGACTCATGCCAGGATGTTATGGATGTTAGATAATGATGAATGGGGCTTCAGAGGTCTTTCGCGGTTGACCAAGATCCATGTGAGGCCTGCAGGAATGAAAACATGGGGCTTAATTGGAGGGAGAGGTGGAGGTGGAGGGTTGATGAAAACAGGATTCAGATCCAGGCAGGTAGACGTGATGTAATTACAACTGACTCCTACCTGTCAGACTGCATTGTTTTAGACGGTTCGTTTAGTAAACTCTGGATCTCTCTCGTTCTTTCCAGACACTTAACAACTGACAACTTGTCACTGCAACATTATAGTAACTATTGGACTCCATCTCGATCAGTAGGCAAGGCAAGTTTATTTGTATGGCACATTTCAACAACAAGGTAATTCAAAGTGCTTCACATAAAACCATTAAAAGCATCAAAACATAAGGCAAAAGAAAAGGAGATTTAAAAACAATTAAGAACATTCATTAAAACACTAAAAAGCAGTGTAAGAAATAAAAGTGGTTTACAAGTGGTGTTATTGTCGCAAAGCCAAGTGGATTGGATAAATAGAATATAGTCAAATTCTCCCCTGCTCATTTAAGAAAAGCCACCGAAAAAAATGTTCTTCGTTTAGATGATGAAATGGACGATGAGTCATAGATGTTTTTGGCTGCTAGCATAGCTAGCGTTTGCAAAATGGCGAGCACCTTTGTTCCAGAAACATATACATATGTAGATGTTTGTTTCTTTTGTTGTCTTTAGATTAGAAAATGTTAAATCCTTCATCTCTGTGCCTCTCTTTTGCCTTTTCTCTGGCCTTGTACTGTATCCGTATACTGTATATGTTCATGTCAGATTTGCTTTATGTCTCTGCTCATATCTGCTCTGGAATACAACCCACGCACATACCAATATCCACTGACAGGGATGCCGGAAAGAGGCGTGAAGAGTAACAATAGAACAAGACAATTACATTTGTGTCTGGTTGTCCTTCATGCTGTCATTGGCTCAGGCAATGTGCTGTTGGCACCAAAATTATTAAATTCGTCAAAGCATAAGCCGATGCTGAGGAATCCCAATTTGAGCTTCCAAATGCAGATCTCAAAGATTCTTTACGATCTGGTTTTGGTGCAACATAAAGTTTTCTAAGTATTGGAAAGTCTCTTTCTGTCTCGGTTGTTCATTTACTTCCTTTTTTTATTTATTTTTTGGCTCACTCCTTCACCCTGCCACTTTTGATTTTCTTTCAGTCTATATCTCACACTGCCTTTCACTCAGTCACTCGCACGCATGCACATGCACAGCTCCACAGTGGCGTGAAATCTCATCCCGCCCCATCAACAGGTGCCGCGGGACTAAGATTGAACACGTGTCATCGGGTGCGGTGCCGAGATGACAGGACATCTATCATGACGGCCTGTCGCCATTTCCACGCCCGGTGTTTTCCTGGCCTGTGGCTCTCCCAGGTGCTCTGGCTCATCACCCCTGCCACCGAAACAGCAGGGGAATAGTACAGAAGCCTCATTCTGACAAGAAAAACTCTTAACAGAGGAAAGATGAGTCTTTCATATCCCCCCCCCCCCCCATCTTTTGCAGAGCCCACCACCGTCAAGAAATGAATTCACAGTTTGAATAAGTCACATCCATTCCGCTTCTGACTAAACATCAGAGGGAGCGCCGAGACAGAAATCATCCCATTTTTCCCGAGAGTTTTGTGTCAGAATTCTCCTTTGAGCACTTGTGTTCTCTGTCGCTGGATGCATATTCAGGGATGTTGTGTTCATAACCAGTCTGCATAACTTCTTTGGGATTTATCAAAGTCAACGTCATTTAGGAGTCCCTGATGTTTCTCAGTTTACCGTTATGAATTCATGAAGCTTTATGTGCCTCATCAGTTGCCTGCCTCAGTATTTGTTTTTTAAATAACCAGCACATACCACCATTAAAGATTAGCCCATGCGCCGTTGGACTGTGATAGGTTGAAGGATTGGTTTGTCACTTAAAGGTCCGTGATTTGAGTTCCTGTGGTAACTGGAATAAATTAAATTAGAAAAAGAGTGACTGACACTCCCCCTTAACTACTGCCATTAAGGTAACACTCCTTCCTCCTAATGCATTGATGGCCTTCATCAGTCATTTGACTGTAAATCGAGGTGATTTGGGGGTTTGTGATATTCTGGTTTTACTTTTATTTTCAGTTTGATGAGCCTGCAAGCTTTCCCACCAACATCAAGCTTTATAATCACACAGTTCAGTGGGAAACCGGTGGAGATCAATAGTAGGAGACTATTTGTTCTGAGCAGCTCACATTTGGAAATCCACTGCTTAAGGCATATTAGTCTTTGTTCGTGACCCCAACCTTTAATCTCTTTAATTAAATCGTTTTAAGCCAAACTAGTGGCCTGGTCCTCAGGCTGGAAATGTTGGCCATTTAATTGGTCCGTCCCTTTAGTGCCGACTGAAATATCTCAACAACTATCGGATGGATTGCCATGAGATTCTGAGGAAACCTTCATGATCAAGACAGGATGAAAACATCTGACTTTGTGGAATCCTTGACGTTTCCTTTTGTCTGGTTGACATTTTAGTTTTTTTGTGAAATATCTCAACAACTACTGGATCTATTGCCATGGATTTAGGTACAGACATTCATGATGCCCACAGGATGAATGTCAATTCTCTATTTTTAAATCTATCACCAGCAGGTGACTGACAGACAGTGAAACATCTCAACATCTACCAGATGAAAAATACCAGGTCTGCAAGTTCTCTTCTTAACTGATTTATCTGTCCATTTTTATGCGTCCTTGCCGGAGACAGCCGTGACAGGAGGCATTATGCTTTCAGTTGTCCGTTCCCATGAACGAGATATCTCAGGAACGCCTTGAGGGAATTCCTTCAAATTTGGCACGAACGTCCACCTGGACTCAAGGATGAACTGTTTAGAAATTGTGTGGTCAACGGTCAAGATCATTGCGACCTTCAGTACGACTCATTCTTGTGAAAGCATTATCTCAGAGAGAACTTCTTTAAATTTGGCGCAAATGTCCACTTCAACTCACTTCAAGGATGAACTGATTAGAAATTGGTGTTCAAATGTCTAGATCACTGTGACCTCACAAAACACGTTTTGGGCCATAACTCAAGAATTGATATGCTAAGTTTGACGATTTCCCCCACATGTCTCATACAACGATAAAACGATGAAGCGATGACATTCTGGTTGTAGACTGCAACTTGACTGGTTGGCGAAGGCATACAACCGTGAGGCGTTAATTGTAGTTTACAAGTTTTTAGTCTGTAAAATATCAGTAAATATTCAAAATGTCTAAACACAATTGACTAATCGTTTCAGCATTAACAGTAACCCAGAATGACTCTTGAGAGCTGCCGTGTTCTATTGCACTCAAATGCTGTTAACGACTGATTAGATCGACTTGAACAGATTGAGATTAGGTATCTAGTGTAAATATACCTCAAACTGATTTCTAAAGGGAGGGTAAAGTGCTGCTCTTGTTTAATTACCTCAGCCTCCCAGATCATTCTCGTCTGGCTAGGGATTTGAACCTACAGCCTCCAGATTTTTGACTCGTCTCTCCAGGCTTTTAGGTTGTCTGATCGTATGCCATTAATGTAACAAATAGCTGCTCTGCACCCCGAGTCGCTCACCTCCAACACAGAGTGCTACTTTCCAGCAGGGACCACAGCCTTTTCCACAGAATCACCCCGGTCTGAAAATAGACCACCGCATCTCTCACACACACACACACACACACACAGGCAGAGACAAACACATCAAACATGCATGGACATACGCATACTGTATATTTGCAGATAAGGGACTCCGATGTGACAGCACTGGAGCCGCTCTGCATCTTTGCATCATGCTTGGCCAACCAGCCTCCCTCTAATTAGTGAGTGGGTTTGCTGTTTTCCAGCCGTGGATGCCTCCCCAGTGCTGCTTCCAGTCCATATACACACTCATGCAGCCGTCACACTAAATCTTAAATTACAATAACAGACTGACCGAGGTGGCAGGGTATTTGTGTGTGTGTGTGTGTGTGTGTGTGTGTGTGTGCGTGCACAGCCTTGGGGAGTCGTATTTCTTCTGAGGTTTCAGAATAGAGGATGGCATAATGAGATTTCATGAATACATGCACGGTGTATAAGTATGTTTGCTGGCTTATACAACAGGCACGCACACACAAACAACAATAATGCAAGAATTCCATGGTTAGCTGAGAGACAGAGAGAGACAACCAGCATCCATGCATATCTTAAATGTGTGCAACGGAAGACAAATTGACGCCAGTGCCTGAATTGTATCTTAAAGGGCTGCAACAGTAAAAAGTAAACACTGCTTATAGACTCCAGCTGTAGGTTAAGTTAAACTGTTCAGATAGTTGCTTACAATAAGATTTCACCTGGTTTTGTATTGACTGACCGTTTCAAGGCCTTTAATCCACAAAGATAATCAGAAGATTATTCGATAACAAAAATAATTGTTATAGACCTAGTGGCAGGAATGTGATTATCACTAGTCGGGGGGACATTGTAGTCAATTGAATGGTTCAAGAGATCAATAAATTGGTTTCCCGGAATTCAGAAGTTGTATTTCCAGCTCCATTGTACCATCTGGAACTCTTTACCTGTTGAATTCAACAGTTTTCCCCAGAGAAGCTGAAGCTGAAAAGTTTGAGTTTGTCTGTGTGTACCTTTTGTGGAACTTTTTAATACTTTTTTTTAATGATTCAGTTAAGCTCCTTTCTCTGTGAAGTTTGCATGTTTTTTTGTCTGCACAGGTGTTCTCTGATTTATTCCGAATTATCAAATCAGTGGCGTGCATGACAAGGGATGTCACAATAGTAAAACGGAATCCTATCCTGACTGGGACACTGCTCCTAAAACCTGAATGAACCGCTCACACCCTGTCTGTCTGGCTGATGTTAATTCTGGACTGTAGGCGTCCTATAATATTTCATAGAGTGATGCTATAGGCTACAAATAACCAGAAGCACCTAAAGTATTGACACTATGTTTAAAAATACAAACACGCCACCTTAACCTTATGAAGTTACAGTTGAACGGTTATTGGAGTACTGTAGATCTACTGTAGAAGATGCAGAGCCCAAGTGTTATAAGGTATACAATAATGTAAACAAAGCGCAGAGAATCTTGGATTACAACACACAGAGCGAGAGCGACATAAGTCTCTGCTCAGGTAGACCTTTAAGGCAACAACTCCATTGTTACAAAATCTTCTGCAGAGGGGCCTTCAGTTAACCTTCTTCTTCTATAAGTCCTTATTATTTCAGTTTATATTGTGCTTATGATGCATTCACTAAATCACTTTTATTCTGCTTTATACACAGACAAGTCATACACAATTCACAGACATGTTGTAGGACACCGGATTTCTGCAACGCACGGATGCAGATATTCAGTGTTTTCGGACGATTTACATAGACTGGCTATTTTGGGGACTTCTCTATGCAGGAAAAGTCGCCTCATCAGTATCGCGCACACTTGGATGTGTTCACTCCTGGATGCTGCTCGATGCAGCCGCAGTCTGTCACTGCTGACATTGAAAGACTTATTGCGCCGGCCTCTTTGATGGGAGCCGCTCAGGTTCACTGGACAGACTTTCCAGCAGGTGTGCGTCTGGCGGTCGAACCAGCGACCTGCAGGTCACAAGCCCACTTTTCTAACCTCCCACCTGATATGTCTGCAGAGGCTTTGAACAATTTCTGACTAATGTCATGGCAACCCTGGCTGGTGCTCTCGTGGAGGCCCGGTGGAAAAGTGTCTGTACTCAAATAATGGCTGTAATTACGAAACAACTGGGGCAGAAAAAGATACCAGGAGAAGAAAAAAAGGATAATCATGGTGTATGTGAAGGTCCATTCAGTAATGTACTTAGTCAGAGTGAGTGGTCTGATGAGCTACAGATTGCCTGTTTCTAAATATAAGTCACTGTGACACACAGATCTGTCGCACTTTTGGCCCTTTTGGCAACAGTTCCGCTGCGGAGGATAAATATCCTTGTTAACTTGCTGTTAATTAACCAAGCTAATATACTGTAGCTCTGCAAATGCTAATGTTGACATGCAACAACTACTGCAGCCGCACAGCTTTGCCACTGGGCAAATTAGATGTGTCTCCCGGTCACCTACACGTATGCATTCGTTAAGGGCTTTGTTCGTGTCTTCTTACACCTCATGAAAGCCCTCTTTATTTGTCCGTGTGTGTTTCAGGGCTCCCGGTCCGGTGGGAAGGTGCACAACTTTGGGAAGAGAGAGCAGGCCATTAAAAGGAATCCCAACGTTCCTGTGGTGGTACGAGGATGGCTGTACAAACAGGTCAGGACACACACACACACACACTAACTGAAACACACTCATTCTAACGCATGGCTGGGCTTGCACCGTGACATTCAGTATATTTACTGGACGGCCATATTCCAAAACTAAGACTCTGAACAGCATTTTTCTGATTTCTTAAACACGCTCATAGCTGTTGTGTGGGGCTACCAACCACATGTGAAGGTGTAGAGGGCTGGCCTGTTGCCAGTCGGACAGCCGGCGAAGACGGGTTAAGTCCTTGTTGGATATCATGACTCTTGGCTACAATAACTAGAATCTAGAAAAACATATTGTACATTATAATGCCAAAATTAATTGAGCAAGGGCTGCAACTAACTATTATATATAACATAAATAATATGACCTATATTGTCTCAATAAATCCCCAAAGTGTTCCCATCACAACATCCAAAATGTCTTGGTTTGTCTCAGCAACAGTCCAAAACCCAAAGATATTCTATTCACAGTGATATATAACACAGAGTTATATAACAGAGTTAAAAAGCTGGCACCAGAGAACAATTACTCAATCATATCACATAAATCTCATGTGCATACCAAGCTACTAACTGAAACTCTAAATGAAGCTATACTTCATAGCATTAAAATGAATAACATAGTTCTTTAAACGACCTGCATGAACACCCATATTTAAATACTGTCTTACATAGAATATTTTCGGTCTATTTGCTCATTCAGTCTTGAGATATCCGTCTCTTTAAGACACTACAGGGTTGAGTTCCAGCTTCAGCCGCCACATTTCCTCCATTGACCTACTTCTATTTTTTCTTGATTTATGCCTTTTTGCGTTGGCAATATAGAGCACCTGCTGTTGATCACAGACAGGCTATTACTGGAGAGACTCTAAGTATTTGAAGTTGTACTTAAAATATCTGTAGTAGGCATCGTCCCGCTGGGAAACGCTTGGCGTCGGTACAAGACAAACAGTGAGTGATGTTACCGCGAAGCAATTATACTTTAATGACCACACGCGGAGGCACGCACACACAAATACACACAGGCAGGAATGCACACACAACTGAATGCACAGCCGTTTGCACATACAGTCTAATTTTGCAATTATCTTTTAATTAGATAAAACACTGGCAGGAACACACACATGCACATGAATGTACACATATACTGCCACAGGCTATACACACACTAACAAGACCATATATGCAGAAGGCTTTCAAAGAAGATGCATGTATCTGTGATCCCTCTGGATCTCCTCTCTTCAAATGGCACCATTTTCAGACAGCCAACATAAAAGACGAAGCGGGCGGTAAAGCAGCCGTGACAAGCCCAGCGAGCCAGTGGACGAGGACAAATGATCCCTCCTTTCCTCCCTCTCATTCTTGTTCTGTCTTTTCTATCTCTGTGCCTATCCACCTCGCTTGTTCTCCTGTGTCCGCTGCCCCTCGCCTCCCTTTTTCCATCTCGAAAAAAAATCTCCAATCATCTTTCTCGTTATCTCCTCCAATCTTGTGCTACTTTGTGTCTCGTTATTCATTCACTCATTACTTACACTCTTTACATCTCCTCCTCTCTGCAGGACAGCTCTGGGATGCGTCTTTGGAAGAGGAAGTGGTTCGTCTTGGCTGATTTCTGTCTGTTCTACTACAAAGGTGAGTCCTTGTTCAAGGAGAAGGTTCTGTCGTAAAGTCGACCGGACCTAACACGTGGAGGAAATGGTTGAAATTCACACTTACTACCTGTTCCACCCCCCCAACAATCATACATTCAGGGAAGGTAAAAATAACAAAGACACCTTTACAATTAATAGACAAACACCTCCACTGCTTTTAAAATCACCACAGCATTGAATTAACACTTTCTAAAATCCCAACAAAACCTGAATGTCATAAGCTGCACGTGTGTCTGTCTATTGAATGGCTGTTGTATTGGACTGGATTTCTATTCTGCCGGTGTCTCACTGGTGTTGTTTGAAAAACATTTTTTTCACTTTTTTCACTGAATTCACTGTCGAGTAATCCTACAGTTTAGAACACATCTGTCTAAAATACGGAAGCGTTTTGCTGCCACCCCAGAAAAAGACGGTTCGGTTTCATGTCTCTTACAGACAACCAGGGGGAAGTGTTTGTCACTCGAGAGGAATCAAATATATGTCTGTATTGGAAATATGAACGCTTTTAATAAAAAAAAAAAAGGTTTGGCCAAAGTTCAAACGTTTGATTGGATTCTGATGGTGCTGGGTTTGAAGTGAACTGCAGCTGACGAAGGAGCCAGTGATTCAATTTGGGCGGGCATTAATCTGATCTTTCTCAGTGAGTTATAGCTCAAACACCATGGGGAGATTTGGATGCACACTGAGCTGCATCACCATCCCTCCCTCACCCTGGCTGTCTTTATCTGCCTCTCCACGCCTTCCTTTTTCATCTCCATATTCTTCACCAAACCTTTTGGGACATGCTCCTCTTCGCCTCCACGGATGAAATCAATTCTCTTATCCGTCTTTCTCTCTCAGTTCAAAGGTTTCTCCTCTTGACATGAAAACACTTGATCTGTCTCCAGCATCCCTTGCTAAACCCTTGTTTTTACACAAACAACCTAACCTCCCATTGCTGTCTTTGTTTTTTAATTACCTTTATTTGTTTGATGGTTCCCATCAGGGCTATCATTTTTTTTCTGAAAAATTTGGTACTTGTAGCAATGTTTACATTTTAAGATTGAAAAACTTGCACATCATATTTTATTGTCTCTGCCAGGAGATAATGATATCGGCTAATCTCACATGCTGCTGCACCAAACTGCACAATATTGTAGGTGCTCATTAGTGGCTGCATGCTCAAGGTCGTGGTCGCAGTGGCTCACAGACATAGATTAGAAACTCTTTCATTTTATTGTTTCAGTCATCTTTCAAGTTGAAAAGCCCCACATTCTCTGATTTCAGCTTCTAAAATGTGAGGATCCTCTTTTTTCTTGTTGTACAATTCAGATAAAACACGAATTAAAAAATGATAACGGGCATTTTTCATTATCTCATAGACAAAACGCTTAATTAAATCTGCAGATTAATCAATAATTTAAATGTTTGTTAATTGCAGCCCTAAATGACATATGAAAAATCCATACTATATATATATATATATATATATATATATATATATATATATATTTATTTTTTTTTTTTTTTTTTTTTTACAGTTTGCTTTTGGAAATTGGTTAAAAGAGGGAGACTGTCCATTAGACACATAATATCAGTATTTCTAAATGTGTGGATACCTCACTGGTTTCTCCTTATCTCCATTACAGCCCTGTACAGCGTACACAACCTTTATCCTTAGTCCCTCAAGTCATATAAGAACAAAACCTTTAACCGGGGACAGAATAGAGTGACAAAATACTGCCATTCATGTGCTCTTGGATGCTATCTAACTTCACTCGTCACGGTCTGGTCTGCTCAGTGTGTTTGTACGTGTGAGGGAGACAGACTGAGCAAAGCAGATAAAAAAGACCTCACCGCCTCGCCCGCCATTTAGGGAATGTCTCCTCCAAAGGTCCTTGAATTATTTTTAAACAATTACCCCTTTAATCCACAGTGCTGCCTTATCACCCCTCAGGCAAACACCACACACACACACACGCACACACAGGTGCCACACACACATATTTTCATACCATTACTAAATTTTGCGATGTGGTAATCGCTGCGTGCACACGCATACACACACACGTGCACGCACACATTCTAGCGGGCTGTCACAATGTTCCGTTGAAAACAATTGCTCAAGATATTTACAGATGTGTGAACTAATTAACTTGGGACACATTCTGGTGGCACACTTGTGTTGGTAGAGGACCTGTTTTGAATTTGAGAGTAAGGACATTTTTGGGAAAGTGAGGACATTTTAACAGCCCTCGCTGCTTGACGGTTAGGAGTTTAGGTCCAGGTGAAAGGTAAAAAGGTTGAGGACTGCATTATGTCAGTGAGGGTCCTTACAAATATAGAAGGACAAGTGTGTGTGTGTGTGTGTGTGTGTGTGTGTGTGTGTGTGTGTGTGTGTGTGTGTGTGTGTGTGTTCACTGTGATCTCAGCGTGTGAACCGCATGGGTCAGCCACAGAGGAATGGCGGCTGGCTGCCAGTTGGACCAGGCCAGCGTTAACTCTGTGACACTGGGATACCGGAATGGTCATTTACTGTTTGGCACGACACCGCGGGCATGAGTGACGGCATACAAGTGTGTTTATGTGAGTGTTGTGATACTGGTGGCAGGCAGTGATGAAATTAGTGGGTGATGACTGATATTTAATCTCTGGCTCTTTCCTCTCCCCCATATCTCCCTCGCTCCTCTTCTCACCTTCCTCACCCTGTTTATCTACTCCCTTCCTTTCTCTCCCCCATTCCTCCCACCATCTCTCTCTCTCTCTCCTTCTCTCTCTCTCTCTCTCTCTCTCTCTCTCTCTCTCTCTCCAGACAGCAGAGAGGAATCGGTCCTTGGCAGTATTCCTCTGCCCAGCTATATCATTTCACCCGTGGGACCTGAGGACCACATCAGCCGCAAGTATGCCTTCAAGGTACGCCTCTCTTTCTTCTACAGACTACTCTGTGCTGACTCACATCTTTGAATCACTTTCTGATGTGATTGTTCTTTTTTTGTTCGTTTATATTTCTGCTTTTTGGAGTAAAAACGAAACTGTGTGCAGCACAGTCAACCTTCAGAGCTAGAATAGTGTTAATGACACATACGTTCATCAGAAGTAATACACATACCTTTTCAACTAAAGACCTGCTGCCTCTTTACAACACAATACTACCATAACACCTGTTGCACACTGTGTCGGCCGGCGGTTTGGTGGCACGCAACTTTCCTCCCTATCCTGTCGAGCGTAATTTATGAGTTGTAAAGCTTCACATTGTGCATTAATTTATTATTGAACAAACCTTTGTGTGCCGTTGAGATCACTTGTTTATAAGAGCCCGTTATAACTCACAGCAATGACAAGGTTGTTTGTTTGCCGAAAATGAATCTTGAAATCAGTTAATTTACATTAAATTACTTTTTTTTTTTAATCATTCCTTCTCATTCAAAATGTGTAGAAGTTTTTAAACCATTGCTTTTTCAGCAGTCACCTAATTGATGTGGCAATTATGACAAAAACAGGGAAACAACAAAAATGATTTCTAAATGGTAGTGAATAAAACAGATCTTCATACAGACATAAGCCTAACTGCCCAGCCAGCCCTCTGCTTTGTGCAGCACTCACCACCTGTTGTAGCCATGTCTATTACCACTGAATGTCTGTCAGTGTCTTTATTGAGACAGACCAGCTCCTCTGGAATGGAATGAAGCTTCTCCGTTCCCTGAGGCAGTCGAGCTTGAGTCGAGCCCGACACGTGTGAAGTTAAGAGGCAGACCTAATGTACAACAACCACAACTGAGTGTTTGCCCTCATGTGCAAATAGGCTTCAACTCTGAGTGGTCAGTGAGTCATCAAGTTTGATTTAACGTTTTTGGTTCATGACATGAAGCGACATGTTTGCTTAGTTGTTCAAGAAAAGCCTTGAGAACAAAAGGTCATAGTTTGATAGCTGCAGCGTCAATGTTTCCTGATCCTTGGGCAAGACACAGATCCACTACCTCCTCACTGCTTAAAGGTCTTTGGATGAAAGTGTTGACTTAGTGAGGATTCAAATCTGAAAACTTACTAACACTTACAGAGACAGTCAGATATTAAACTAAGCTCTCCCCATGTGGGTCTCGACATGAGATCAGATCAGCTAGAGATTCCGTTATCATCAGTGGTAGAAGGTGGCAAACATTCAGAGACATAAACCAGGCAACAAGCTCTGAAGCTGTTCGACGTCAACGGCAGGAGGGGAACGCCTCGGCTTGGTGTATGTAGTGGGAGAAAGATAACACGCGGGACGCAGGGGTCCAGGACGAAGTGGGAGCTACCCAAGAGGGAGGTCACATGGGCAGAGTTATGGAGATCAGAACTGGGTTCAGTATGTGACAATCATCCCTCACCAGCATGCACTGGGACAGCAAAGGGGAAAACGTCTCTAACCCAAGGTAGATGACGCCGTGACACTGTCTTGCTGGTCTTAGCTGATACATTGGAGCGGGAGAAGCAGCCAGTAAGACCTGACTCCTTTGTTCAGGAGGAAACCAAGCCAGGCACATCCCGCAGACCAAAGCCGACCATACTGCAAATGGCAATGAAAGGTTGATGTTGGACGGAAGCTGCAGTTTCCAGATGTGGCCGACTCCTCTCTACATCCAGACATTGTGTTGTGGACTCAAGAAGACAAGAAGATAATCCTGGTGGAGCTTACAGTGCCATGGGAGGAGGGTCTTAACGTGGCACATAAGAAGGTTGCCTCACGTTTGAGGGTTGAAACAGCGCTACAGTTACCTCCTTAATAGGTAACAGGAGAGAGCACCAACCACCCACTGGTGTACAAACACAGTCTGCATTAGAAAGACGCTGAACATGATACATGTCAAAATATTGTAGCCAGTTTCTCATCGATGGTTTTTCAGCCAGGTGGTAAGTTACTCCCAAAAAGGTTTAAAATATGCAGCATTTTGTCAGTTGGTGTTTTTGTAAACACACAGCATTCAAAGTGGGCCATTCCTCACTGGTGGTAATTGACGACTTGAACACGCTGAACCAAAGGCCCCTTGCTGATGCCCAGAAATGAGACTCAGCTGAAGCAAAACCCAAGTTTCTACTACAAGAAAGGTGACCCATTCTACTTGAAAGTGATAACGTCCCTGCTGCAGAAACCCCCCATCAACTGGTTCAGAGCAGGTTCAAACAAACTCCTATTTAAACAAACTCCTAAACGAAGGTCTGTAACACCAGCAGGACCAGTCAGCCACCTATACGATCCCAATGGGGTGGGCATCACATGATGGTGGTTTGCTGTGTGAATGCTGCACCCATTGTGTACCAAGTTGACCTACACACATCATGACGCCTCGAATTAAATCTTCAAGCTTCGACGACCCCCCCCCCCCCCCCCCCCCCCCCCCCCCCCCCCTTCCCCTATTCACTGAATCCTCTTCCCTCTCTTGTTCCCATTGGTTGGCTGCCCGACTGTCCCCGTGAGTGTGTCACGTCGCCCAGTGACAGTCCTCCCATAAATAGGTACTCTAACCTCTCTCGTGCTCTCACTTTGCCAGATGTGAACGTTATATATCCTTGTTGTCTGCCGTCGGTGTGGCTTTTTTGGGTCCAAACACGACGGAATATACAGCAGCCTTGTATATTCCTCTGTTGGTTTTATGATGCATGTTTTGAGAATAACGTCCTTTTGGCTGACGTGGTTGTGTCGTGTTTTTTATTTCAGTGTTCTCTGTCTGATTTAATTCCCCCCTCTCTCTTCCTCCCCTCATCTCTCTCTCTCCCCTCATCTCTCTCTCTCTCTCTCTCTCTCTCTCTCTCTCTCACCCCATCCTTGTTATCTCAATATGAATCTTTGTCTTTTGGCTTATCTGGTGTGGGGCTTATCGTTCATCTTTGTGCTGCGCTTGCTGCCTCCTCCATCTGTCACATCTACTGTACCGGCATGCAGTTTACTGATGGAGGAAAAACTTCCACTTCACACTACTTTTCCAGAAATGACTGTGGGAGTTGTTTCACTGTAGATGCAAGCTATGCAACCACACAGTCACTAAAAGGTAGATTTTTTTTTTCCAAAGCGGCTGCTGCTTAAGGGAACTTTGAAGTAGAGAAGCCTGTTCTACTCTAGCTTCTTAACAGGATTATTTAACAAACAGAGTCGTAACACTGACTTTAAACCGAGACATCCACTTGCAACTGCTGTCTCTATTTTGTATTTATTTTTTTATTGTAAATTCAGTTTCTACAGATACAAGTTTAGGAGAACGTACCTTATCAGGAGCTTTGTGGTGCTCTGGCTGCTGAGGCTTATCTTCATGAGCACAGTGACTCTTTAAATAGCACCCTGACAAAGAGTGTGTGTGTGTGTGTGTGTGTCTGGAGCTGTCCACCAGAAAAGAGCCCACACTATTATAAGACCCTCCAAGTGCAGGAAGTAAGTGATATTCTTAAACGTGTAGAAAAAGAGCGCCTGTAGGAGAGAGCACACAGAAAGGGAAGGAAGTGATTAGGGCTGGAGAGTTAAAGGCGAATAATAGAGAGGAAGCGATAGGTGGAGAGGAAGGAAGTCCTTTACCGTCATGACGGTAAAATACAGGCCAGAAAGATTTGGCGAGAGGGAGTTCTAATATTTTTCCATAAAGCGTCGTTAAACAATACAGTGGAGAAAACAAATAATCAGGAACACCCTTAGAACTCCCACACAGTCACAGTCCACAAAGGGAAAAAAGAGGCTTAGCTGCGTATGAATTCAGTGTGTAGGTGTATCGGTCACGCACTCAGAGCTGAATGACCCACTCAGCATTCCTGCTAAAAGGAGGCAGAGTCTCTCGTTGTTATTTTGGACCGCCAGTGGTGTGTGTTGGATTTTGACGCTATTGTGTGTGTGTGTGTGTGTGTCTGATGTAACTACAATAGGGATAAAACGAGGCTGGTGTTATGAGATGGACATCGACAGAGCTTTTAAATGTGTGTTTGGTCTGGTGGAGGTTGTGTGGGCGTGTGGTCGAGGTCGACCCATTAAACAAACTATCGGTAGTGGCTGACCACCAGTCACGAGAGGACGTACATCACCGTTTAACATAGAGGCTCCACACACATGAGGGCCACACATATCAGTGTGCATATGATTAACTCCGGATAATAATCTAAACAACTGTTAAGGGCCCTATGAAATAGCCTGCCGGAGGAGCTGTAAGCGGAGGATACATCGGTGTATCCTTTGCGGTAGACTTTTCAGCACCTGACACATATAAAAGGGGCGTGACACACAGATGGAATAATCTCAACCCATGGCTGGACTCTACAAGTGGAACTGTTCCTCTTTGCTTTCATACAGGTGGAGGTCTCTACAAGCTTTAATGTACAGCGCCTCGTAAGGCGCCGTTCTAACCGCATTCCCTAATGACATTTCACCTTGATACTACTTGTGTTTTTGTCGTGTACATCCAAAATGGCAAATTATTATAACAATAGCAATATTATCTTGCATTCAGGGATAATTTGCGGAATTCTACGTTTTCATATAGATAGACAGGACAATGAGATGTCTCATTGGTTAAATGCCCGTTGCCTCGCCTCCTCTCTCCCTGCGACTCTTCCTCGCCTCCTCTGTTCACATCTCCTGTGGGCGGGACTAAGATGCGAGGAGAGGAGGTGAGTATCAGAGTGGAGGATGTACAAACTTGGGAATGAGAAAGTTGAGTTATTATCAGCAGCTTGAAGTCGTTTTTGTCCAAAAGCACCATGTGAATAGGATTTAGAATTAGGGTAAAGATTAGAGATACTCTTTGGTTAAAGTTTCTGTGATTCAAATAAGGGTTTGAATTCAGTTCAACATAATGCAGTACAAGTGTGTGTCTCTGTCTCTGCACTGTGTGTGTGTGTGTGTGTGTGTGTTCACTGCACTTGCATGCTAATATCTCTGCACATGCCTAAACATCTGACGAGCGGTGCAGTCCTCTGTCTGTCATCAAGAAGCCTGTCCCATTGTAGCCATAAGAGGCCGTCTGTCAGGATGCTGATGGTGAGCGAACAGCCGTGTTTTGACAGCTGCTACCTGAGGATGCTGTTATTCTTCTCGTCAAGATATTTAGGGCGTTTCTTTTGGGGATACATCACCCATTCGTTTTGTTAAGATGAATGGTTGCTAACTATTTTCCCTGCCTGTGTCCTGTCCTCTTAACACATCTGTATGCCTGACAGTGACAGGCTGACTGAGCCCTACGTGTGGTCCACATCTGTTCCTCTGGGTAGTGTTGTGGTCAAACCTACAGCAACCAAATATTGCTTCAGCCAATTTAACTGATCAGACAGCAGTCAAGGATGAAGTAATCAGTGTAATCAGCTGCTGTCGTGTTTGGTTCAGATGCAAACCTGCATAGCCCTGGACCATGATTGGAAACAACATACGAAGTTCATTAGGATCCAGGTTTCTGCACGAACAGAATAACCTTCTGAATATAACTACTTCCCTCATCACTCTGGTAGATGAGGGAAGTTATTTACTATTTTATTAAACTCATCTATTTAAATCTGCCTTTAACCTGTGATGTGAGTTCTGTATGTGTTTGTTATGTCATCTATCTGCCTTGTTTATATTGTTGTTGCTTTTATTGTTTGAGTTTTTACCATGTAAAGTGCCTTTGAGTACCCTTTCAAAGCGCAATACAAAATAAATGTATTATTATTATTGTTGAGAGGAAGGAGGGACTAAAAATGGTCAGTTGGTAGAAAAGAAACCACTTAAGCCCTGAAAAACAGGAACCACTTTGTCGATTTAGTGGAATTGCATTCATTTCAATTTAACATTTTATCATCAATCACCACAATAGAATAACCTTAAACAACCCCTCCCCACTACCAAAGTGCACAAGGTTATTAGGAATTGGACGAATCAAGTGAGCTGTGCAAGCAACTCCCGGATCTTAAAATATGTGCCGGGATCAGCATCAAGTAGATACTCAAGATTTCAAGTTTAAAGGGATACACATCATATTAAACTCACCTTTTCACTGCTTGTGCACACATATATACATTGGTATCTGAAGTGCCTGCCAACCCACAAAATAGAGTTGGCAGGCACAGCATTTTACATTTTAAATAGGTTGTTGAAATAAGACAACCCAGTCAGTTTTCTGTGGGCTCCCTAGATCCGAAATAATGTGATTCAACAAGCCAATTAGATTTCCTGTGTTAGAATATACCACCACCCATCTGAGTATCTCCACCCACGGCTTGAGAACTACCTTTGCAAAGGTGCACCATATATCCTGTTTTTAGGCTTAAAGGGACGGGCACTAAAGTCAGTCAGTGGGCGAATACAAGGATGTTCAAACTGACAGTGTGAGACAAATAAAGTGTTTTTTTTAACATAATATCATTTAAACATGTTCTAGTAGAAACCCAGAATACAAGAATGAACATGAAAATGAACATATGTCTCCTTTAAGTAGTTGTATTAGTGCTCAGCAGCAGCCACTGATATGAGCTTGTTTCAGCAGCCAGACGGCAGTTCTTTCAGACGGCAGGCGACCTATTAAGCCGCTGGGGAACCTGGAGGGGATGCAGGAATGGGAGCATTTATGTTTGTTTGTGTACATGTCTGCATCTGCGTGCTGGGATTAATTCAGGCTTTATAGTAACAAAGATAGAACAGCAGGGGCGACAGTCTTTGTTTGCATTATTCACAAACTTGTTTAGCGTGTACAGTACATTGAACGGCACGAGTGGGTGTTTTGTTTGTTCCTGACTGTCATCGCGCTGCAGACAGGGAGCCAAACTGCTGAGGAATCATCTTATTTCATCACAATATAAAAAGCCAAATAAAGAAATCCCGGTGAAATTATTGCTGCCGCTGTAGATCCCACCACAACACTCCTCGCACACTTATTATCCTGCATTCATTATTCATTGAATGAATTAGGGTAGGGAAGATTTAGCGTCTAATTACTTTTCATTTGCATGCATCTGTTGTTGAGTGGGCTCTCTCATTTGTCTTCCAATGCCAACCCCCGAAACACTGAATGAAGGAAGGAAGGAAGAAAAGTAGGACAAGATCTGTGCCGTGCTCAGTGGAGTGCAACTCACTTTAAAAGGGCCTCTAATAACCCCACTTTCTCTGCAAGGACATCTTCATCAAGGATACAAGCACTTTTAATTAGGCAGCTGTTAGTGATGTACTGTTCCTTGAATTTCTTGGCCACTTCTGTTGTTTGATGGTGTGCTTTCTTCTCCCTGTCAATAGCCAGCCAATTATAATATCAGTGACATCATGTTGAGCTATTTTTAGCACAGCCCGAAAACGAGTTCAGCCGCGGTACCAAGAGGTTCTGCCTATATGAATTATCAAACGGTGAGCGTCTTGGTGTCGGCCTCTCGAGGTCTCCTCTCTGGACTCGCAGAAACTTAAAGGCAGAAATCCATAGTAGGAGAAAGCAGAGATAGCAGCGTCTGGACTGACGGGAGTCTCAGGAGACCAAAGTGCAGTGCAGCCAGAAACATGTCGATTTTGTCAGAAAGAAAAAGCAGCTCTCGTTTTATTTTGGCTGGGAAGAAGGTCTCCTGCAGTTACTGTGCGATCGCTAGTGTTGCTGCTCTCTCCGCCTACACAAACAGAATAACCTTTTGAATGTAAGGGCCTCTGGTAGATGAGGGAAATTATTGTTAAGAGAAAGTAGGGACTACAAATGGTCAGCTAAAGCTGCATCTTGATAATAAGTGGTAAACATTGAAATAATTGATCTCTTATAAAGTGCTGTAGTGCACGTGTTCGGGGACAGTTGCTTATTTACTCATCTACAAGACAAGGAGCAACATTAAAGCTAGGGTTCTTTAGAAACTAGCAAAAGTACGCTCGATTTTAAAGGACCAGTGTGCAGCATTTTTGGGGGATCTATTAGCAGAACTGGAATGTAATATTCACAACTATGCGTTCATTAGTGTAAAATTATCTACTAATAAGAATCGTTGTGTTTTCTTCAGCTCAGAATGAGCCCTTCTAGTCTACACAGGGAGCAGGTCCTCTGCACAGAGTCCGCCGTCGTGCACCTCCATGTTTCTACAGTAGCCCAGAACGGACAAACCAAACATTGGCTTTTAGAGAGAGCCTTTCGCATTCTTGCATTCCCTGAAGGCCACCGTAGTTCTCTGACATGCTTGTAAAACTGCGGTAACTTGAGCCGTAGAGTGTAAAACCGTGGTACCGCCAGCCAGCGTCTGACTTCCGTCTCTCTTAAAGTGATGTTATTATGGTACGGATGACCTCTGAGCGAGGCCAATGGCGATACCACGACTTTTGCGATCGGCGGCTCACATTACCAAAGAGTCTACAAGAGGGTGAAGTGGGCAGAGGGGCATTCAGTTGGTTGCAATCTACAACCACGCTGCTTGATGCTACAAAAACGTACACACTGTGCCTTTTTGAAAAGGATTCCTCTACAGGTGCACAGACTGCAGTCTATATTATCAGGCCTGTAGTAGCGAAGGTAAAGTAGTGCTGCAACATCACATATCAAATGTTTCTGTTCAGCATAGCACAGAATGATTCTTCTAGAATTCACTACACGCTCAGCCTTTATATCTTCCCCCATGATGAAATGGTGCAGATGTGCTCTCGACTTTCACACACACACACACACACACACACCAATAACAGTCTATTAGATCAATGACTAATAACCTTTTTTACTGTGTATTCAAAGACATATCAATCTCAAGATTAGCTATGCCCGTCATGAGCTCTGCACTTAAATCACAGAGCACAATTCCCCTGTCATGGCGTCTAATCAGGCTTGCATTTCACACTGCGTCTTCGCAGAGCCACTTTTCCATGCCGGACCACTTTAATGATGTTATGTCCTTTTTATAAAAAGATATGGTGTTGAGAAATATGGCAAGCATAATGAAAAGCTGTTCTCATATTGCTGTTTGTTTATAAACTGTTATTTGACCTTGTATGTGTTCTTAGTAGGTTTCTAAGCTGTAATAGCAGCAAAAACAACAGGTTTGTGACGAGACCTTGAGATTCTTTCTTCTCTGATACCCACATTTCTACCCATTGTACCGGAGAATTTTTCCTCCCATCGGTCAACAGTTGTGGCTTTGTTGGTCGTTACTGGCTGGCATCTCTGTCTCTGTATTTCCCTGTGTGGTTTCCTTCATTGCCTCTGTCTCCCCGTGTTGGTCGATGCGTATGTGGCCCTTGATGTTGTTTCTTTTGTTGGACAGCATGACACCTCCCTGTCTCGTTGACCGAAACCGAAGCTCTCTGCTGATCTCTCCGCACCGCTGGCCTTTGACCCGGCCTCTTCTCTCTCTCTCCCTGCAGGCCAGCCACACTGGTATGCGCTCGTACATTTACAAGCAGAGCTCTGTGATTGGCTCGCAGGCGGAGCACACCGGGATGCGGACGTATTACTTCAGCGCCGACACCCAGGAGGACATGAACACCTGGCTGAGGGCCATGAACCAGGCCACACTGATGCAGAACCAGACCAACACACTCATCAGGTAGGGACACACACACACAGAGCATGTCTCATGCATGATCCTTTAGTACATTCAGTCACTTAACACTTGAAAAAACCTGAATAAGTTCCATATCGTTTCATTACGTTTCCACAATTCTTTGATTTGTCCACCTCACGCCATGAGCTCCCCCTTGTGTCTGTTGCCAGTATTCTGATTCCTACGTTGCTTAAAATGAAAACTTAAGTCATGTTTTGTATTTTTAAATAGATAAAAAATAATGTTTATTCATGTACCATTCCTAATTTGGATTACACCTGACTGAAAACACACATATACATGAACGTACACATATTCTGTAATTCAGTAATTATAGACACATACACACACACACACACACTTCAAATCTTCATCTTCCATTCGTCAATCTTTGGTGTCGAGTCTGTTGTACAGCGCTGTGCTGCTTTTGAACTACACTTCCCAGAGATCACCTGTTAATGAAGCAGCAGGCTCTTTACTGGCACTTCTTCTTTTAGACCTTCGTCCTGTGTTTAATGGAACATATCCTCCACTTGGACTGAAGGATGAGTTGATTAGAATTTGGAGGTCAAAGGTCACCGAGACCTCACAAAAGACGTTCTTGGCTCAATAATTCACATGCTAACTACGGCAATTTCACACAAATGTCTAATAGTGACGAAGTGATGACATTTTGTATGGGCATGGATTTAAACTGAAACTTGATTGGTTGACGGAGGCATACAACAGCGAGGCATTAATTATAGTTTATACATATCTTGCAGTTCTCGGGACAATGTATTCACTTATTTGTTGCCTTGTTTGTAAATATGTATTTATTTTCTGCAATTAAACAAATTGTTTTCCCTTATAATCCTCTTTACCCCCCAAATTCCTTTGTCTTATTTTAAATATTCTACAGTGCTTTGTTTATAAATACTCGTACGTCATCACCATGCCCTTAGCGGTTGTGAGACATGACTTGTTAATGCACTGTATGCGATAGCTGCAGTTGTTAAGTCCCACAAATACATACTTCCTAGTAAGTGTTGCCGTTCGTTTGTCTCTTTTCCCCACTCCGCTGTTTACGGCTTTTACAAATCTGTGTCGGTCCCGAAGCTATAGCACATAGCGCAGTGTATTCATGTTATTTATTTTAGATGTTTGCTTGTTTTCAAAGAGTAGATCCTGATGTTGTGAAATGCTCTTTTTGACCAAGCAGCCTCTTTCCCCATGTATTATTCATATGTTGACGTCGGGAGGTGGCACAGATCAAATGCATCCCATCATTCACTGGCAGCCTCAGACACACGCAGCTTGTACTGCTCCGTTTTCATTTATTCTTTTTGGAAGGGGAAGTCCCACGAGACTACAGCAGTTGTTAATGACTGACGGGGAAGGAAATGTGGCTGAAGACAGCTTCCACTTGGGACGTTTTTAAAAAACTTTCTCACCTCCTGTTTCTGCGTTTTCCTATTGAACAAACTATAAAAGTAGGATTACTATTTGCTGGCATGTTGCACTTCTTTTTCAAGAGTTTGGCTACTTTTACAAGATGGAAGATACGTTGTCAATACAGTGATGGAACACACTACTCGTAAGCTAAAAGATAATGCCTTCGAAGCCCCATATAACACTAAAAGGAACAAACCAGTCATCATAGTGCTAATTCGTATTAAATACCTTCAGATACCAGCTGCTGGCAGGGAGCACGACGCCACCTGTTTAATTCATTTTCCGACTTTGGTGTTTGGTTCATTGAATTTCAGAGACCTGACTATTCCGCTTGCTTCTTGTCACAGGAGGTTTCATTAACGAGTTTGAAATCTAGCTGTGGTTACAAGACTTTGCTCGTCACCTGTCCCGCTTTAAAGCGGTCTGTGCGCCTCATTCAGCCCTGTGCTTAAAGTTTAGGACGAGTTAAATGTTTCTCTTTTATGTGACAAACATCTAGTTCAAATTCTGTCCAGCGCACCAGAACACAGACTAGGATGACTGAAATGGTGTAACACCAAGTCTTTTGAGAGATTTGAGTAAAATAAATCAAAAGTCAGCTGTAGTTAATTATCATCGGGTTCTCTTGTGAAGCGTAGGTTTCTCCAAATATTTAAATTAGGACTCGGGCGCCAGACAGGAGGATAATCATAATCCTACCCATGTCATGTTAGTTTGTGTTCTCCTGTCTGCTGTTTTGTTAGTTGTTTCCCCTTCCTCCAGCTCACAGGTGTGTCAGATGTATTCTCCACCTTTCCTTACCATTGAAACAAAAGTGTGTAAAAGGCTAACATTCATCCCGGCTTTTCATGTAATGTCATCTCTCAACAGACCATTCGACAAGTTCGAGACGTTTAACTTGTTGCAGCAGCAGGCTGTCCCGCAGATGAACCACGTGAACCACCACAGGTCCCCAGACTCTGACCCCATGAGACCCATCGTCCACGAGGTCCTCCTGGAGCCCATACACCGCGACGCCGACGAGCGCTGCAGCTGCCACAAGGACTCTCCGGCGACCACCGTGTTGGAGCACCCCACAGGAAGCACTGCCCTGGAAATGGACACACACACCTCCCTCCCCTCCAACCCCGCACCCTCGGCCCTCCCGCAGTTTGACAACGTGTCGGCCTCGGCCCCCGTGTCCCGGGCACCGTCACGATCCGCCTCCACGCTGCCCTCCAGCGTCTGCACGAGGAACGGCCTCGTGTCTACGCCCAGCCCCATCCTGGAGCCCAACGGGATCGCAGCGGGAACGTACCAGAGGGCCCCGGTGGAGACGCCCCCTGCCGACACTCACAAGCAGGTGCACAGGAGAAGCACTCTGGAGCAGGTGGAGCAGTGGGTCAAAGTGCAGAAGGCGGAGCACAAAGGGTGGGTCACTGTTGTATGTCTCATTTCAGGCCTGCAGAGAACAATGCTTAAATGCTCAAATGTTACTTTTAAGAAATGGCACAAGAGATCAATCGATTTCCTTGTGAACGTAAATCCCATTTGTAGCTCAATGAATATAATTTGTTATGTCGTTATATGAAATTCAAGGTGTGTTAAGATGAATCTATGGATATTCTGTTTATTGGTTTGTTAAAAATATCCCTGTGCTTCCTGCTGCTCAACAGCCCCCCGTCCAGAGAGAACACCCTCCCTCGTCGCACACCTCCAACCCAGCACAAGTTCACCTCCATGGACGCATATCAGACCCTGCCAAAGACCCCTCGCCAGAGCCCCACGCCCGCCCGACTTGGCGAGTACAAGTACGCCCAGGACCGCCTCAGCCACTTCCGCCTCACCCCCGACCCAGGGCCCAGCACCGTCTGGCAGCTGTACGAGTGGCAGCAGCGCCACCAGTTCCGTCACGGCAGCCCCACGGCGCCGCTCTACACTCCGGCCCCGGACTACCCATTCGGCCCCCGGCCCCCATCCACCGTGCCTCCCTCCTCCTCAGCACCCAGGTCCGAGGGGGCGCCCCGCTGTGTGTCGGTGCCACCGTCGTCTGCAGACATCCCTCCCCCGGGGCCCCCACCCGGCAGCAGCAGGACCCTGTCGCCCACACGGAGGCCGCACACGCCGGCTGGACGGGTGACTGTCAGGCCCGTGGGTGATCGGTCAGTGTTGGACATCCCCTTCTCTGTGTCCCCCCGCAGGACCAAATCTCAGCTGCTCAAGGTAAAGTAAAGTCTGACAGACGCAGTTGCAAACTAACACATGGGGAAACTAACTGATCAAAACTCCGATTTGAATAGACAACTCTGTAATGAATTGTCAATAAACAACACAGATGGTCTGTGATGCTCCTTACCAAAGGGACAAGAAATGGAAATACAAATGATAATAACAACTTTCTCTGGACACATTGATTCTGTATTCTATTCCACTCCCTGTGCACAGAGACGTGTCTAAACACAACACTTAAATTTCATTTGGCAAATGAAACCGCCCTCAAGCAGAGGAATGAGATTAAACTGTCATGTAAGCTGGCATCGTATTTACATTTTAGGCATTAACCTCACACTCTTATCAAAGGCAAATGACAGCAAACCCAAATCCCTCGCTCCGCAGTGATCAATCAACAGATAATTATTTGAGTGTCCCCAGAATATAAAACGAAAAGACGAAATTAGCAGAGAAAAAAGGAGAAGGAATGCAGAAGAAAGTGCTGTGACGTATGAAGGATAGACGCCGTAATGCCAGCATGTATAGATATTGTTGATTACGAGACATTATCAATAACATCTGGATGACAGCAGATAGTTTCCTGTCGTTGCATTCTGCTGCAGGGATTGATCCCGTGTGTTAGTGCTCTTTCAGAGATCGGACCATTAATGTCTTTTTTATTTTATTTTTTCTCCCCACTGTCAAGTGCAAAGTGTCAAAAAGAATCGTCTCTCATCCAGAACAGTGTCAGTCATTCTGACAGTGTGGGGCGGATGTTGGACCCGTGCTTCACTGAACAGAATAATTGTTTCAGAGCTTTTGGAGCACAACAGCAGTCATTTATTTAAGACATTCAGTCTGTGTAATTACCTCAACTGTGTCAGCAATCAGTCAAACGGCCAACTGTAAACCACATTGCAGATGTATACATACTATTTAATATACTGTATACTATATTGTATTATACTATAATGTTTGTACAGTATACTGTTTATCAATACATTTGTCACATTTATGCAAACTGAGGAAACAATAGCAACTCCATTAGTATTTTGCATATCACATTTCTGAAATTGAGTGAAACAACACAAATATGCAAATTTCCGCCCACTCTTCCACAAGCAACTCAATTTTGCCCAGAGATAATAAAGAATACAGCGTTAAGTCATCAAGGCCATGCAAAGCATTGCATCCTCTAACAGAAGACTTGAAGCCTGTGGTGACTCACTATTCAGATTACCTCGTGTGGTAGGACCGTCTTTTTCTGTAATGGCTAGAACACACGTCTGTCATTTTTTGTACGTTATATTCTAAACTCCATTATACGTGTGGTTGTACTGTATGTGTGTAAAATGTGTTGTCTATGTGTTGTCAGGCTGCTACTATCGAGAGACGGTCAATGCCTTCATCCGGCTACATCACACACACAGTCAGTGCACCCAGCCTTCACGGCAAAACGGTACGTCTTACAAATATAACACTTTACTGTGTTGCAAATATGAATATTTTAACAAACATTACATGAGGCGAGGATTTCATTTCTCACTATTTGGAACTTGGAGCAGAAACCTTGACGCTTGAAGGCTGAAGAGGCCTGTGTTTGAGTATGCAGTGATATGCTTCTTACAACGTGTTCACGCTGCCAGACAGTCAAGAAGTCAGACACCAGAAGAGCATTCGTTCTCCGCTACAACAAAATATTAACTGATTGTCCAAATCTTGATTAGCCGTTAGTCGGCACGGGCCAGTTGGCTGTTGCTGAGCATTTTTGGGAGACATTGCCTGTCATCTACAGTGTGTTGCTGTGAGTTGTGCCTTTTGTTTCGACGCCGTTAATCCTCCTAAAATCTGCTTGTTCAATTTGGCCATCAGCCAGTCGTGCACCAAAGTGGCTGCTGGTGCTGTGAATGCAAAGGTTTGAAACAACAGAAGGTTTGGTGTGGTCAGTTGTGATGCCAGATGTATTGTCCTGTATTGGTGCCTGACAGCCCGAGGAGCTCACCCTGCTCCTCATTCAGCTGCGCCGGCATCAGGCCAAGATGGCCTCCGCACGTCAGCACGCGTTCTCCCAGCTCCAGCGGCGCAGCGGCCCCAAAGAGGCCTACCACCACAACCACTTCCTCACCACCTCCACTAGCACCAGCCCCCTCCTCAGCTCCGGCCCCCTCCTCAGCTCCGGCCCCCTCCTCAGCTCCGGCCCCCTCCTCAGCTCCGGCCCCCTCCTCACCTCCGGCCCCTCTCCTGTGTCCCACCTCGGACATGTGAGCCTCTCAGCTGCCCTGGGCTCTTGCAACACCCAGGTGGGCCCCCCACCCACCACCACCTCCTCTGCGTCATGCCTGCCCCTCATTTTACCAGGGGCTGGTAGAGGTTGCCACTAAACACATTGCTGGGCTGCATTATAGAACTCTCTTATTGAGAACTGTTATCATTATGGTCAGGTTGTCAAGCACAGAAGCTATTTCAAAATATGCTGTATGGATTTTCATAACATAATATTACGTAACATCTCAAGTCTTTCCAGTGAAAGCAGTTAGATTCCTCCATCGTAAAGGCCTTTGCACAACAAGTCTGGTTTTTAATCCATTTTACACAAATTCATGTGTTCATATTCACTGATACTGACATCACCATCTTCACAGTCTTACACCAGACCTGTAACTCTCCGTTGATCCTGGACTTCGGTAGTTCCCTAACTGCAAACACATGGCTGAATGTGAAATAGTGCTGAGAAACAACCTATCCCCGGATAAATAAAGACACCAAAAGTTTAGAACAACAGCAGCATCAAGGGTCCCGGTATATCGGTGGCAACCTCTACCCAGAAGCCCCAGTGCTTCAGTGGTGTGACACCGGGCATGGTTAATCTGTGAGTGCTGGCCTTGCTGCCGTCATAGAACCATCCGCCTCCTCCTCCATGTGCTGTTCTTGGCTGGCCCGTCTCCATACCGTGCTTCTAGTGAAACTGTCCATAAGCATGTTGTGCTGCTAACTTCTCGACATCCGCAAAACACATCCCGTGCTTTTGGCTAACCGGCTGGATGCGTCGGTCAGTCTGGTCTTCTGATTTCGTGAATCTTGTTGTTGTTGAGTGATGTGAGCTGAATTAGAGCTGAATTCCATTCATGTTTCAATATCTGCTGCTTCCAATGGATCTGGTTTGTGCTGGTGTCTTTTGTTTGTTGCAGTAGGAGCATCTCAGAGAACATGAATTAATACATTTTATGTGTTGTGATGCATGTTGGCACAGACGCATAACAAGCACTTCATGCCCGACGCACAAACATCAGTACGTCCTGCTACGTCAGTGAAGCTTCTTTCGAGTCAGAGGACTCGGATGGTCAATTATTTAATTCCCGTCGACGCAAATCAATAATCCCCACTCGCGTGTTTGTCTCCCTCCAGAGCGATGACACCTACATGCAGCTGAAGAAGGACTTGGAGTATCTGGACCTAAAGGTGAGAAACCACGATCCCCGTTAGTTCTTCTATTTTTGCTGAGCCTTCTTTTGAAAATGTCTCGAGCTCAAACTAACGCTCTTGGTGTGTTTCTCACTGACGACCACTTGTAACTTTCCGGCCACGAATAGAGATGCTCAGGCTTCTGGGAGAAACAAAACCTCCCCAGTAGACTTGTAACTCCTCGTATTGACCGCGGCTCTGTGTCTTTGTGATTTTGACTCCCAGATCAGAGCTCTAGAGCCCCTGATCCTCGCAGTTCACAGTTTACTACTGCACTGCACTGCTGGGCCTCTCAGGCCTCTGATGAACGTAAGCCGTATGTGTCTGTGTGCGCGTGTCCGTGCAGATGGATAGTGACGTTGTGTGTAGTGCGTCTGTGACTGTGACTGTGTGTGTGTGTGTGTGTGTGTGTGTGTGTATGTGTGTGCAGGCGCATACATGCTTGTGCATGTCTCTCCTGTGTTTTTGAGTAGGGACGCATGTGTCCAGTCTGTGCGTGAGCGTATGTGTTTTAGATGACTCTGTTGTTCTAGAAAGACCATCCCATTGCTTCCAGCTTCGCATTCACGGCTTGAATGGCATCAGATGTCTTCTATGTGATCTTTGACCTGCCCCCTCCCCCCCCCTCCCCCCATGTGGTGATGTTTTTTCCACGATGCTGTTGAAACGTGGGCATGGGATGGCTCGGCAGTGCATGTGTTGTGGCTGTGGCCCGGTGGTTGATAAGCCAGCTGCTTCTACCATCGTCTCTGAAACGCTGCACCTCCTTGACAAGAACACAAGACTCTGCTGTGTCATGTCGCTACTCTAAAGGAGCACATGTGGTCCTAAACTAATCATTTTCAAAGCACAAGAAGGAGCTGCTATCGGTGAAACTTCTCATTGTGAGTGAAATTGGCACCTGTGCCCTATTTGAGTGCTTTTTTCAGCGCAAGTGTTCCAGGAGGTTATTTTAGACCCAGTGAAACTCAATGTGAGCGCCTGAACTGGGTGTGTTCCTAAAAAGCAACACTTTCCTGTTCACAAAAAAAACAACTTTGGGACATAGTGTCCTGTATAGAGGTTTTTTAGTCAATTTGTGCAGGGCTTCAAAGTCTCCATAGCCGTTGTGTTCTCCATGGCAAGAGCTGATGTTATGTGCAAAAGAAACCTCACTCATATTGTCATATTCCTGGGAGGCGAAGAGAAAGTGTCACAGATAGTGTGTCTCAGCCTCGTGATACTTTAGTTGGTAGCCGGTCTCTGTGTTCTCTGGACCTCCTTTATTTCAGCACCATTGTGCCGCGGCTCAGACGCTTTGCCGCCAAGTAACGTGAAAATGCTTATTTTTGCCGTTTCTAGGTAGCTGGAAGTCAGACGCTGAAGGAGTCAGGGAAACCTGTCAAGGTTGCAGAAAGTGACGTGGATGTAAGTACAGGCTTAACAGCTTCTTAAAGCGTCGGCTGCATTTAATGCGGCTGCATTAAAATTCCATTTCTGACGCTGTCGAGGGGGGATATGTGTTCCTTCCTGTTTGTTTGTAGTATGCTTTACTATATCTAACGAATGTTCACAACATGCAGCTACATTTGGTAGAAAGTGAAGCTGTTGCCAATAAAATGTTGGACATTAATGGTTTTTTTTCATATTTTCACATCACTTACTGGAATGAAAATGTCTGGCAAATGTATCCGTAAATTTTCTTTTCCTGTATGTAGTTTGATGCAAATACATATTCACAATAAGTGAAAGCGTTTCTATACGTTTGCTATCATTAAGATAACACTGTTAGAATGACATCTTTGTTTGTTTCTATGCAGTATGGAGAAGTATGCAATTAGATTTGAGTCATTTCAAGACTGGGATAAGTATGGAAAGAAGTAAAAGAGAATATGAAAAAACATTAAAGACTATTATTCTGGGGTTTTTTTTAAATATGGAATTCAGAATTTCCAAAATATCAATGTATCATAAAAGCGAAGTGGAGCAGGCAGCCAGCGCTGCCGCTAACGTTGAGGGTAGTTAAGGACAAACAAAATATGGATGCTGTGGAAAAAGTGTGGGAGGACACGATAAAGTATTACTCTTGTCCTCAAGAGGCGACCAGCATGGGAGTGTGTTCATAGGTGAATGCCACAACTCCCTCAGTTTGATAATACAAATAATTGTCTCGGGGTCTCCTGTGGAAGTATTCCTCAGCATAAGCTCCATGCGCAGCTGTTTAAACAATTTATGAGAGCGTTGTCCGCCATGAATATTTGATCAGATCCAACAACAACAACAACATCACCGTGGAGACAACAACAGGATTAATAATTTATTTGATGGAATGTGAAAACTGGTGCCGAGTGTGTACGAGTAACAACTGTTCACATCAAGCTGCTTAGGCACGACCTTATTACATGAATGTTTAACTGCAGGATGATAAAGGGATCCGACCTTTACCCTGGAGCTGGCAGAGTTCAATGGGGGATTAACAAACAAGGCTAACACTGTCATTCAACGTGTCGGGTGGGTCGCACCCACTTTATGTAATGTGTGCGCAATGTAATTACACTTGAACGAGACACAACAGACCTGCAAACATTTAAAAAGAGATTTGCATGCACGCACATAAACGGATCACGACTCACAAACACAGAGGCGAGGGGGAGTCGTAATTAAGTGAATGGGCCACTTAACTACCGGAGGTCAACACACACGGACACAAACTGTGGTGATCACTAGAGAAGTGAGCGTACAGTTCCTCCCTTTCTCTCTCTCAGCTCTGTGTCTACCCCCCCCCCTCCCTCCCTCCCCCATGCAGGTGAAGTTAAGTCGGTTGTGTGAGCAGGACAAGATCCTCAAGGACCTGGAGGCGAGGATCAGCTCCCTGAAGGAGGACAAGGTACCCGCTCTGTTAGTCATATATACTCTCAATCAGTCACAGTGCAGCAGCCGACCTCAGGCAGTGTGATGAGTCAACGGGCAAACATGGTGGACAATTAGAAGAAAATATGACACGATGGTGTCACGTTCAAGGACAGAGTTGATAACGGAGGATGACTCGGCTTTTAAAGAGTAGAGAGCATCACACGGCATATTTCTGTCAATCTAGAGTCAAAGTGGTTTTCCTTCTATATTCAATATTAACAGTCATGAGAGGAAATTCTATTGAAGGAGGGTCAATCGTATTCATTCCTCAGACTCTGCCTCTCTGATTCTTGACTGATTAAGTTGGTATGGCATTAAAGACGCGTCCAGAAACAAACAAACCGAAGGCACGAAGTTCCCATTAGTTCTTGAAGGGAAACCGAAAGCAATAAAAAGTGAATTGCAATACAATATATACTATAAAGACTGGAATGCACGTCTGATGAGATAAAGCTCAGAAGGTGAGGAAGAAGAAGTTAAAGATCGTATGAGGCTCATGACTGTAGAAGCATGCTGCCCTCTGGAGGCATGTTTGATAAAGTGCCATCTGCTGAATATTTTCAGAGCAGATCACAGGGAAGCAGGTCTTGTAGTTGCTTTGGTTTGGTTGACCTCGTGTTGAACGACTCTACGCCCTTCTCCCGCCCCCTTTCAGGACAAACTGGAGAGTGTACTGAATGTGTCCCACCAGCAGATGGAGCAGTACCAGGAGCAGCCGGCCCACGCCCACAAGATCGCCTACCAGCAGAGGCTGCTGCAGGAAGATCTGGTGTCCATCCGGGCCCAAATATCACGCCTCTCCACGGTACGTACGCAAGTGTGGATGTGTCTTTGTAAAAAATCTTGCACGAGATACTGCGCAGTCTGGAGGGATGGGGTTGAAATCTATCATATTATCTCGAAGGATGCAAACTCTCATATAATATGATGATTTCCTTTTAGTATTTACAGGTGTGCTGAATTAAGTGAGTGAGTGTGTGTGTGTGTTTCTGGGCATGCATGTAGTGCAGTATGCGTCTGTAGAGTGAGTGAGTGTGTGTGTGTGTGTGTGTGTGTGTGTGTATCTGCACTAATGCCCGTAATTAAGTTTGTGTATACATATAGATATCTCTATGAGGAATCAGTACTACTACTGTTCATGTAACTTAAGACCGTGTGTGTGTGTGTGTGTGTGTGTGTGTGTGTGTGTGTGTGTGATGCAGGAGATGGCTCACGCCTGGGATGACTACAGTATGCTGGAGAGATCAGTGGAGCAGCTGAGGACTGCGCTGCAGGCACACATGAACCACAGCGCCACCCCTCAGGTGAGAGCCGGTACTGCAGCTCGCAGCAGGTTCACCTCCAAACTGCCAGCTCTGCTTTTTCAGTTTAAAGATCTAGTTCTTCTTCATAGGCTGGGTTTTATTTACAGTATCTGTGGCTTTTGAACTGTCAATATTTAGTTTGTCATCAAAGCTACAGTTGGTAACATCAATAAAAATAACTTTTAGTCATAAATGCTCAAACTGTCGCTATATCCTGACAGTAGTACATGAGCCAGATAATCTGTGAGAAGAGCAGGTTCCTCTGCCTCCTTTTAGTGCTCCTCGTGGTGTTTGCAAGATTCCACCGCGTCAAAAAACGACCAATCAGAGCAGAGCAGTCTTTAACAGGAGAAATCAAAGTTTTCTCTAATAAGAAAGTTTGCTCCGGCCAGTGGATGGTGCTTGGTTTCGGCTGAACTGTTTTCAACACGGTGCCTGGGTCACCAACTTTCTCTTTCTGCAGCTAAACAGATCACTAAAATATGTTTCTAAAGACATTTGATGCGAGAGATAGGCAATGCAGTAACATAATATTGATTCATATGTAATCAGCGCTGCCTAGTTTCACAGTTTGATCAGAGTTCACCAGCATCGACTGACAGCTGCGTTAGAGGCTCTGATTTGTTGTTTTTCTTCTGCTGTGGCGGTATCTCGCGAATGCCATCTTACATATATCTTCCACATCCTTTTCTTTTCTAATAACAGTCATCTCCTCAATTCTTACATCACAAGTTCATTGATGGCATTTTCTTCAAACTATTTACAGAGCAAATGTGATAGATTATTGAATCTGTGACATTGAAAACTAAGTTGAACCAAACCAAAGTGTGTGTGTGTGTGTGTGTGTGTGTGTGTGTGTGTGTGTGTGTGTGTGTGTGT